TGTGGGGAGGGAAAGATGCACCTCAGATCTCACTGGCTGCTCCTGAGCTGGGTCCTATGTCTGGCAGAAACGCTGTGGGCACGGAGCAGGGCATTTGGTGGGTTTGAGATGTGGTTGCTACTCAGAAAGGCACCTCGGGCCTAATTCCCATTTGGACACTCGACTGTTTAATACTGAAATCTGCAGGAAGATAATACACACCTTTCTGGCCCCTTAAACCGTGTATTTTTGCTAGCAGAAGCCCTGCATGGGGCTGTGGACCCCCTGTGCTTAGACCAGAGGGGCTGCTGCTGTCCCCCTTAGTTCAGGGTGTGACTGCAGGCAGATGGTACGAGGACAATCACTCATCCTCACTGGTTTCCCTTCCCTCCAGCTGATAGACCGAGCCACCAGCCCTCGCGATGAAGGTGATCCCAAGGCTGAGCAGAAATCCCTGGAGGAGAGCTGGCAGGACCTGGCCTTGATCAAGACAACATCCAAACCCCCCAAGAAGCAGAGGAGGGAAGACCTCAGTGAGCCTCTGCTCTCTCTAGTTCGGCCACCGGCACCAGGTGAGGCTCGTGGTGTCCGTGCTGGCTCCTTCCGTGGCCGGGAAGATCACCTTGGTGTGCTCCGGGCCGGCTGTGCCGCTGCTCCCCGCGGTTTGGGAGCTCCACGTTATTTTTAGATCGATGACCAGATTGCGCCCTCCCTCCTGGGAGACTCCTAAGCCACGGCCCCTTTTTAGGCAATGCTTGTGGTAACGGCACCTCTGATGCTGTCCTGGGCATCTCAACCACGGTGGAGGCTGCCAGGGCTTTGTTTCCTCTGGAGCAGTGTCCGCTGCGCTGGTTTTCTGGGTCAGCTCTGTCTGTGGAGGAAGGTGCGCTCGGGAGCTGCGCAGACAAAAGCTGCCTTGTCTGGCTGCCTGCAGAGACAGCATTTTTCCAAGTGGGAAAGCAGCCCAGCTCAGGGCAGGGCATGTCCTGAGATACCAGACCCTGAGCAAGCTCTGTAGGGCCGGGACTTGTAGGGACCCTGGCAGGGAGGCATTTGCCTGGCTGCTGGTGGTTTGCCTATCTCTAGGTGGGGGGTAAGGCTGGGTCCTGTCAGGATTTGAGGTGCGTTTGGCCTCTACCTTGGCTCAGAAGTGCTGTGATTTCTCCCTCCCCTCTGCCCCATCCCCTTCTCACAGAGCCCAAGGTCTGCTCAGCCCCTCTGGGGTCTCCTCAGGCGGCCCCCAGCCCTCCACGCTGCCTCACGCTGCAGGAGAAGCTCCTCTCCCACTCTAGCAGCTGCCTGGCTGTGCCTGAGGCTCAACCATCCCTTGCCCCGCAGCTGGCCAGGAGCATCGCCGTCCAGCTGCAGAACTTCCTGCGTAGCAAGTGCCCGGAGCTGCCCTTCGGCACCGTCTTCCTCAGCGGTCCCCAGCTCGACAGCCTCGGGGGTCTCACCATTGACCACATCCACCTCATGCTGCCGGTGGTCCTCGATGTCACGCTCTGGATGCTCATCCCAGGAGAGGACACCGTGGTGAGGAACCCCCAGTACTGGATGATCAAGAGGACTGATCTGGAGTATTTCCCTCGTGGGCGGAGCCCCTGGGACAGGTTCATGGTGGGCCGGTACCTCTCCTCCAACGCGCTCAATGAGACCCTCCACAAGATGCTGGTGGCCTCCATCAACTGGCCTGCCATAGGGGACCTGCTGGGGAGCGTCATCTACCCGGACATGGCCTCCCAGGAGCTGAAGCTGGAAGTCAAACACGATCAGGTGGAGCTGAGCATCACTCTCTTCCCAGTGGTGGAAATGGAGGACAGGGTTCTTCTGGCTGCTCCTCCTGAAGGCCTGGTGGAAAACCTCTGGCTTGAGAGCTTTTACAGGGTGGAGGTGGCGAAGGTGAAGGAGCTGGATGCTGGTGATGCTGGGGCTCGGCAGCGCTGCCTCCGCATCCTGAACGGCATCTGCAGGAGCCATCCCACTCTGCACAAACTGAGCGGCAGCCCCTTGACCCACGTCGTCCTTCACCTCAGCGCCATCAGTTTGGACTGGGCAGAGGAAAGCCTTGCCGACAGGTTCCAGCAGGTGCTTGAGGAGCTGGTGGGGTACCTGGAGAAAGGGGTCCTGCCTTCCTATTTCAACCCCAAAATCAACCTCTTCTGCGAGCTGTCGGAAGAGGAAATCGATGAGATGGGCTTCATGCTCTACAGGGCCATATCTGAGCCGGAGCTCCTGCTGGAGGAGAAATGACCAGTGCGTTGGGACTCCCTGAATGTAGGGTGATCCTTGCCCGTCTGCCGCTCCCCGCTGTGAGGGCTGCGATGCTTCTAGTTGATTTCAGTGAGAGGTGAACTTCTTGCACTTTATGATAAAAAACCCTATTTTTTTGTCTGGATAACACGTGCCTGAGCAGAGGTGGGTGTTGATGTAAGGAGCCTTTGGCTGGGAGGCTCTTCTGAACCTGGGGCGAGTGCAGCCCACACCTCCAGCACCTCCAGATGAGTCTCATCTGCTGGGAGATGCTGGGAGGCATGTTTGGTCTCTGGTTCCCAGTGTCCCCAGCCCGCCCCAGCCCTTGAGCTCCCCTCATGCTGAGTCCAGCTGGAGGGGAGTGGTTCCTTGCTGCTGCTGCATCCTGCAGACCCCACTGTGTCCCCTTGGACGCTTGGTCTTCCTGTGCCATGTCCTCAGCCAGTGTTTGGGACAGGGTGGGAGCCTCATCTGTCTGCTGGATATTGCCAATCTGAAATAAAGCCCCAGTGATGAGCTGGGTGGCTGGCTGGGCCCTTGAAGGTCCAGCCATAGCAAAGGGGCTGTGGGTTTATTGTTTGGAAACCCTTTCAGCTGCCAGAAGGGGCGAGCTCAGCCCTACCTCTTCATGCTGCCGGTACCGGCTCTGCCCCGAGGAAGGGGCCTGCTGGGGCTTCATGTCCCTTGTCCCACAGTGATGTTTTGCTGGAAAATGTCCCAAAAAAGGTGGTGGCAAGAAAGCTGCTGACTCCTAGGGGGCTCCTGGGGCTGGTCCCTTGGTGGAGGCTGCAGCAGGGCTGTGTGTCCCCTCCTCTGTCGGTGGGTCACTGCGTCCCAGTCTGCCCAGTGACCTTCTCACACACCTATTGCTGCTGTCTGGAGGTCCTGTTCCCCTGCAGCCCCATGGTATGGGGCAGGGAAGGACAGGAAAGATGCTGTGAGCAGAGTGCTTGCAAGAACGATGTGGTTTATGCTTTTAAGAAGGTATGTTTTGGGTATTTGTTTTGGTTTTTTTTCTTCGAGTGGCTGCTAGCAGGCTTGGTTCTGGCTGTAGTCCCAGGGTGCAGGAATATATTCTTTCATTTAGTGGGAAGAGCTGCTTTTGCACACTGATGGAGATGGAGCAATCCTGTGGACTTCAGTGTGAGCACCCGTTGTGGTTTAGTTTCCTTTACAGCTATCGTCTTGTTCATGGGAGGAGAAAAACCTGTGCTTTTCCTCCCAGTCTGAAGATTACTTCCTTTGTTCCTCCAAACCCAGGCGTTTGCAATGAGAATAAACCTTCCCCATGTAACTGGTTCTCTTGTCAGCTGTGTTTTGTCTCCTTTCCCATGATAAGGGCTGAAGCCATCCTCCAGCTGCTGAGAGCCACCCACGGTGTCCCCCCATGCATGGAGAGCTTGGTGGTGGTCAGACCCCATCCTGCAAGGCCTTCCTCCTCCTCCTCCTCCTCTTCCAAACCCGTATGCTTGCAGAGCCTGGCTGCAGTACTTGAGCTGTCTGGACACTGAGCTTGTGCCGTTTACCCTGCTCAGCTGCCTGAACACTGACCAGGGCTGGACCAGTAAGGCTGGCAACACCCGATGTCCTCAGCACCGCTGCACCCGCTGCCTGCGAGCTGCACGAATGCTTTCTGCCGCTGTTGCCATTCAGCAGCTGCTGCCCAGGCTTCTGCCGTGCTTTCAGCAGCTCAGTGATTGCATTACAAAGCCTCGTAATCCTGTTATTTTAGCCGGCAGGTTTGTATTTTTAGGCTACAGCTGTTAAGTGTGGGAGTGAGGGGTACGGGAAAATGCAACCCAAGTTTTCCTGACCTTACTCCATAGATTTAGGCCTGATGGCTGCAGAGTTAAAGGCTCTCTTCTCTCTTGTGTAGACCTGAAAGCAAAGCTGTGCTGTTGCGATCTCTGCTTGGAGCTGCCCTCTACAGAAAGAGCTTCGGCCTCCTGGCTGCTCTGTGTGCTGCATGGCCCCAGGAGCTGCTCTGTGTCCAGGAACAGGGTCCTGAGCAGCATTGGAGACCATAGGGAAAAACTGAGTGTTGTCCTCTGGCAGAGGAGGACACAGGAATCTCATGGATCGGCTTTTGGTGATGTAAAGAGGGAGGGGGTAGCCTGGCTTCCCAGGGAGTTCAGTCTAAACCAAGTGCAGGAAAACAGGAGCTGCCTGTCTGTCTGTCTGTCTGTCCCTGGGCAGCAGCACTGCAGCAGATGCAGCTGGTGAGATAAAACCACTTCCCCTGCCCCACTGCAGCTCGCTTCCAAATAACTGCAGGGAGTCCCTGCCAAGAAGGCTTCTGTATTGGTCCAAGAAGTGGAAAGAGCAAGATTTGGGTGGATGCTTTTACAGTAATAGCTTAACTATTTTAAGCAGGAAGAAATAATAAGGCAGAGTTGGGATGTCACTGTATCAAATTTAAAAATTAAATAATGTTTTAATTAGAAACTTATTCGTTTGACAAAAATAACTTCCGTTAGCTAGCAGCATCACAGAGGCATGAGGAAGAACGCAGTTTCAAATTCAGGAGCTGTCTACAACCAAGGCTTTTCCTGAGCACTGCAGGAAAGGGCAAGCACCAGCTCCAGCTTCTCTGCACCTGGGCCTCCTTCACTGCCAGGGACAACCAAGGTAAGAGGTACGGTGCTGTGACAATAAAAAGGGGAATGTTGCTCAGGTAATGTTAACTTAGAAGGGAACTTAAACTTCCACACTGTGGAAAGCCAGGGACTGAGAGGAGCTGAGCAGCCCTGCTGCCTGTCCCCGTGGCTGTAATCCAACTCTTCCTCGTGTAGGAAGGCTGCGTACAATCACCTCCGCAGCGGGAGCTGCAGGTGGGCTGGATCCAGTCCTGTTTTCTCTGCAGATTCAGTTTCCAAATGCTTCCTTGAAATGTTTAGGCTATCCCAATCTGCTCAGCAGAATAGCAGCTGCAAACAAAGGCTGACACCAGCAGTGGAGCCACCTTTCAAAGCTGGTCGAACCCTCACTGCCCAGCCATGTAATGCATGTGTGAGGATGGTGTCCCCTGGCAGGAGCAGCCTGCAACCAGCCCTTCCAGAAAGCCCTCAACAGACTTGTTTCCAGACTCCAGTTCCTTCCAGCAGGAGTTGCTCCCTGGACCTTTCAGGCTCTCGAGATGTCCATCCAGGCTCAGTGGTTTTGAGGGCAGGTTTTCCTTGTGTGGCCAGGCTGGTGGCAAATGCTACAGGTCCGTGGCTTCTTGGCAGTGGCTCCCGAGGAGAGATTGCTTGGTCTCTTAGCTTTGCTTCCCAACTCTCTTGAATAGCCACTGCTGCCAAAGTGGTTCAGAGGGTCATCTCCTGAAGGCCCTAGAGAGAAACAACTTGCAGTTAAGTACCTTTGAAAATAGAAGTAGGTGAGAAACAGGAGACAAGTTCAAAATGGCAAATCAAGGATTTTATTATCCCAGCCACTAAGATTATTCCTGAAACTACACTTGCTTCAGATTGCTCTGAAGTTAAATGTGACCCATTTGTCTCGCAGCATTAGAGTGGGAGCAGAACAGGGGAAACTGATGTGCCTGGTTGCATACTGTGGTCTGCAGCTGAAGCAGAAACAAAACTTGCCAGAGGAGAACTTGGTTTTTAAGTAGTTTTGAAAACTTGATTCTACCTCTTTAGGCCCCAATGTCTGAGCAGGAGGAGGAGGAGGCAGCCAGTGTTGAAGATCTCTCTCAGACCACATCTCCACCTCTGTATTTTGCCTTTGTGTCAGTGCTCTTTCTTTTGCATCCTTATTTTGTGATTGTTTTTTTTATGGGTACTTGTTTTTAGCATCTTTCCACAGCAGCCACACTCAGTTTCTCAGCTCTGATCAAAGCTTCAGAGAGACCTGGCCTCTCACTGCATTCCCAAACTGGGGCAGAGGGAGTAGCACAGTTTCCCTGGCATGACAGAATGGGGTTTAAGGTCTCCAAATGTGGTGTCACTGCTTCAACTCTGTACCAAGTCTGTACCAACTCTCACAAAGCTGAGCACCATAATTTGGGAGAACAAATTCCCAAAGAGACTGTTTGAAAGAGTGGTGGGCTTTATCCAATGAGTCACGGACAGATGCTCAAGCTTCCGGCCCGCAGAAGCAATGCATCCTGCTCAGAGCTCAGCAGATGTGTGCTGTAAGGACATATCCTACGAGCACTTGGAAAGGTGAGCCAGGCTCTGTTGTTACAATTAACATTTGAAGTGCTGCAATGCTGACAGATGTTCTAAAGACAAACCTGTAATCTGTTAAACCCAAGAGCTGATAAAATGAGCATGACAAAAGCTGCTGTGCTGTGGTAGCGTTATGGATGGATGAGAAGCGTGTTCGGTTTAGCTTCAACAACAGCCCCCAACCCTTGCATCTCACCTCAAGCCCAGCCTTACCCGGCGCCACGTTTTCATCTGCCCACTGGAAGAAGCCGCACTGCTGCTCTCGGGGCTTAGCGCAGGTGTGGAACTGCCGCCCTTTGTTGGGGCCGTCCTTCTGGACGGTGCGTGTGACGGCCGGCTGGTTGCAATTGCAGACGGTGCCGCCTCCTGAATCGGAGCTGTTGCCTCCAAAGAGCTCTGGGCCTCTCCTTCCTCCTCCTCCTGGGCGCTGAAATCCTCCTGGGCCTTTTCCTGCAGAGGGCCGGGGCGGCGCAGAGCCCCGCGGAGCCGCGTTGCCTCTGTCCTCTGCCTGCTGATCAGCCCAGAGGAAGAAGTTGCAGGTGCTGGCGCTGCATTTGTAAAACTGCCTGCCTTGATTGGGCCCTTCTTTGCGGACGGTTAACAGCAGCGCTTCGTTCCCGCAGTTGCACACCACTGCATTGTTCCCATCGTCCAGAGCAGCTGAAGGAGCAGGCCTGGGTGTTCTCGTGGAGCTCAAGGACAGCAGATGTCCCGGTGCCAGGTTTGTGGGTCCCCTCACGTGCCTGCTTTCGCCGCTCGCTCTGTTAAAGGAGTTGTTGACCTGCAAGTGATGAGCGTGCTGGCTGGCTGACAACGTGGGCTGGGATG